CCCCGCCCCTCGCCCAGCCCGCCGCGCCCTGGTCCTTCTTCGGGTCCCGCCTCTTCCCCGCCTCCGCATGGCCCCGCCCCTCCCCGCCTCGGCCCGCCCCTGGTCCCGCCCCTCACCCCGCTCTTCCCTTGCCGGCCCGCCCGTGCCCTGGTCCTTATTCTGACCCCGCCCCTTTTCCCACCTCCGCCTAGTCCCACCCCGTCGATTTCCTCGCCTTGGCCTGCCCGCGGCCCCGCCCTCGCCGTGGCCCCGCCCCTCACCCAGCCCCTCCCTTGACCCGCTCGCCCGCGCCCTAGTCCCTCTTCGGGTCCCGCCCCTTCTCCGCTTCCGCATAGCCCCGCCCCACCCGCCCCTCCTTGGCCCCGCCCCGGCCCCGCCCCCTCAGCCCCAGCCGGCCCCGCCCCCTTCTGGTCCCGCCGCGCCACGGCGCCCCTTTTCCCAGCCCCGCCCCGCCTCCGCCCCGCCGCACCCACCTGGGGTGCGAGACGAGCCTGCGGTGCTGGGCTTCCAGGAGCTGCTGCTGCAGGAGGTATTGCTGGTGCAGGGCCTGAGGTAGGAAGGAGGGGCCTGTGACGTCCTGGAACTGCAGGGCGGGCAGCGGGGGCAGCGACTGGTGCAGGGCGCCGCTGTGCTGGTGGGCCGGGGCCATGTGGGCGCTGAGGCCCGGCTGCGACTGCACGGGGTGGGCCAGCGGGAAGTCGGGGGCGAGCTGCTGCGGCAGCTGCTGCGGCTGCGGGGGGCCCAGGTGGAAGTGGCGGCAGGAGGTAGCGTGAGGATGCTGAGACCTTTGAAACGGGGCACCTGGAAGGCAGGACAGAGAGGTCTCGTGGCCGCCGGCCCCACGGCGTCTCCTGCCCGCCAGCCCCACCGGCGTCTTATGGACAGTGGTCCCGCCAGCGGTGACCACCGGCCCCACCATAGTCTTGTGGGTACCAGCACTGCCAGTAGTGACCACCGGCCCCACCAGCGTCTTGTGGACACCAGTCCCTCCAGCGGTGACCACCAGCCCCACCACCGTCTCCTGACTGCCAGCCCCACCAGCGTCCCCAACCCCACCAGCGTCTTGTGGACACCAGCCCTGCACTGACCACGTCCCCACACAGCAGCCTGGAGCTGGTGAGCCCCAAGACCTTCGTCAGAACCCACAGTCTGAGGATTTTCTGCACATGTGGTCCTCTCTAGCACATCAAGTACAGGCCTGTCGTGTGCTTGCTGGAGGCAGAGTATCTTCTTGAATGATGGTCAACATCCTTCTTCCGAAGGTTTAGGGTTCCCAGAGGCAGGTTGGCTTTTTGAATTAGGCTCTTTCCATGCAATCTCATTGACCCCACCTTATTAGACAAATGCCACACAGAGAGCACTCAGTCCAGCCCAGGCAAGCTCTGAACTTCACTGAAGCCTTGGCTAGCCAGGACCCAGCCCACTTGGAGCCCTACTTTCCAGAGGAAAATGCAACCCGAAACTGTTCTGCATGCCGTTCTGAGATAAGAAAAAGGCGAGTCCCACAAGACATATTTTTATTTAACTAATAGCTAAGTCGTATTTATTTGAAAGCAGACGTGTCCAGGTATGAGTTGAGCTTGAGGCTCCAGTGCGTTTCCAAATAAAATTGAGCTCACTGAGGAGAAAGCTCTACAAATCTCTCCCCCCCCCCCGCCCCACAAGCCCAGCTGTCAGGCTAAGGGAGCCTCAGTGAGGCCGGCGAGGAGCCCCAGAGGTTCAAAAAGGTTTGCAGGGAATTTCCTGCTGTACACGACAGATTCAACCCGGTTTGCTCCTTCCCAAACCCCGCTAAAATGAGGCGAAAATCAGACAAGGACAGAGAGAGCAGGGGAGGTGACATCAGCAGGCAACAAATGTCAACAGATTTTGGAGACAGAGGCAGATGGAGGAGTCAGCAGAGCTGAGAAGCTGGAAACCAAGCACCTGCCGAGGGGCGGACGGCATGACGTGGACAAGTCTTGCCATGCAATGCTGAGAGGGTCAGGAATTGGAGGTGGGGGCCACTCTGGAAGACAGTAGAGAGGGCAGAGCTGAGGACAGGGAGAGCAGCAGCAAGCCTGTGCAGTCACTTCCAGGCCTCTTCCCCTTCCCCAAGCAGGGGGGCGTCCATCCACCCTGAGAGGCTCCAGGGGTGTGTTGACAGGGGGTGACGAGGACAGGGGAGCAGCACTGTGAGTCGTGGGAGGCTCGGGGAAGGGCTAAATATGGAACCTTGGACCCTTGCCCCCTCTGCCCCTTGGTCCCCAAAACACTGTCCACCAGGTGTGTGCTCCTTCCTGCCCCTTCCACAATCCAGGCTGCAACATAGGGTGCTTCTCTCAAGAAAGCCAGCGGTCCCAGGAGGAGCCCACAGGCACTTGCGGTCGAGAGCACCGCAACACAATGGCTGGGTCCTCAGCCGACCGCTCTGGTGAAGCCCGTTAGCTGAAAAGTCCCTTCCCACACCCAGGCACACAAAGACTCCGACAGTTTTTAGTGACCTGCCCATCGTCACGAACAGACAGCCCAGGGCGACCAGTCATGTGATTACGAAGAGAAACGAGAAAGAACATACCAGGTTTTTAAACTGAACTCAGAGAACGAGATGGTGCAGGGACCAGGGAGAAAATTCATTTCAAGACTCTCTAATTAATAGTCTCAGGGAAGCAGGAGGCTGGACCCAGGAAACAGCCGGAAGCTCTTGCCCAAGGAGCAGTGAGAAGAGAGAAAGAGAGCCGCGCAAGTTCACAAGGGTCTGGGTGAGAGTGAAGTCCAGCAACGGGGCTGGAAGGTCAAGTCGGGACCCTTCCCAGGAAGCAGAATGCGGAGACAAACGGGAAGCCGGAGGAGGGAGACCAAGATGCTGAAGGATCTGGCCAGAAGGGTCCACATCACTCTAGAGAGAAAGAAAGCATGGGGGACAGTGGAGCGGAAACTGTGGACACATTCCCAGGCCCTCTGCCGGGACCGAAGGGCTGCATCTCTAGACAGAAAAGTCACCCGAGGGCCCAGTGAAGTCGGTGAGGAAAGATCCCCACACCAAGGGATCTCCCTGTGATGTGTCCCAGCAATGGCACCGAGATGGTTCTCATACCCTCCAGAGAGAGCATGCAGGTCCTGGGCAAAGGGCCAGAAATCAGAGTAGTGTGGGTCTTTTCAAGAGTGACACTGAGCTGGGCACGATGGCTCACACCTGTAATCCCAGATCTTTGGAAGGCTGAGGCTCAAGATCAGGCTGGGCAGTGTAGCAAGAAAACAAAAAGTGACACTGGAAAACAGTAGAGCAACTGAACTGCCTACTGGATTAAAAGTAATTTTTAATCCAGAATTCTCTGCCCAGCCAAACATTAATCAAGGATGAGAACAGAATAAAGTCACTTCCAAACATACGAAATCTCTGTGAAATTAACCTTCTCAACACTCTTTCTCAAACTGGTACTGACACAATCCAAGAAAGATGAACTGGGATGTAGGGGCTGCCCCCCAAAGGGGTAAAATGCCCTCCACGCACACGGCTCTGCGGGGTCCAGCAGCCATGCCCCAGAGGAGCCGGAGGACGGGAGCCCGAGAAGGTGGCGGGGGGAGAGGGTCTAAGAGCCACAGGCTTATCCATAAATCTGACCACGTGGACATCATATTTGAAGGCATTTGACAGTTTGGTAGAGATTTGGCAAGAACTCGCGAAAAATCACAGAAAACAAGGCAACCAAAAGATAACAATAAGGCAGTTACTGCCCCCAGGAAAATAAAGGGTTGAGCCAGAAAGTGTCATGACTGTGTGGTGCGCTACTTGGCTCGTAGCTGGTGTGTGTGCGTGAACAATAAAACAGAGAAGTAACAAGCAGTGCTGAAGCAGGAAAGGCCACTCTCTCCAGAGAATGGAGGACACAGATAGCGTCAGAAAGCGGAAAGTCAACAGAGAGCAGTCAGTTCGTGTATTTGAGAATGTGCTCAGCAGTTTGTGTCTTCGGGAAGTCAGGACCTGAAAAGAAGTTGACCGCCCTATGGCTGGGGGGGGGTCTCACCCTGGCGTCTCCTACTGATCTGTTCCACCTTGTAAAGGGCGTGCATGTCACTGATGGACGTTTTTAAAGTCCTTTCAAAGCAAAGGTTTGCAAGAACAAGTGGAAATCCAAAGAATTTCTGCCTCACTCCAAGCGAGCCAGGAGAGAACTTTCTAGAACCTCAGCTCCCATACGCATTCCGGGTAAGTCAGGCCTCTGCTCAGGACCTCTGGCTGTGATGAGCGAGGGGCTTCGGCTGGAAGGGCAGGAAGCCCCCCCCAGCCACCCAACAGTAAAAGGAGAAGGAGAGGCTCAGGACCAAGGGACGCAGCTAAGGGGGGAAGAAGAGCTGGAGGAGACAGCAATGTGGACCACAGAGCTGACCACAGAGGGTGGGAACAGGGTAGAACAGGGTGTGGGCGACACTCCAGCCCAGCACTGTCCAGTAGAATCATAATGGTGGCCACAGGGCGGACTTTCATTTTCTTTCTTTTTTTTTGAGTCGTAGTCTCACTTCGTCGCCCAGGCTGGAGTGCTATGGCACGCCTATGGCCACTGCAGCCTCGGCCTGCTGGGCTCAGGGGATCCTTCCACCTCAGCCTTCCAAGCAGTTGGAGCTACAGGCACGCGCCACCACACCCAGCTGATTTTTTGATTTATTGTAGAGACGAGGTATCGCCAAGCTGCCCAAGCTGGTCTCAAACCCCTGGATTCAGGCAGCCCTCTTGCCTCAGCCTCCCAGGGTGCTGGGATGATAGGTGTGAACCACTGTGCCCGGCTGGATTCTTGATTTTCTAGGCTTCTTCTTTCAAAAGTAACAAGAATCAGGTAGAATTAACAATGATCCTACATTCTTTATGACTCAGCATGCCCAAGATGTTATTCCAACACGCACCCAACATAAAACACAACTGGGGTATTTTGCGTTCTTTTGCTTTTTCCTTGTCAGTCTTCGAGACCTGGCGTGTGTGTTTCGATTCACACTAGCAGCACCCCACGTGCTCAGAAGCCACCAGGTGCATGTGGGGCATGCAACTTCCACTGGATGGGCAGCTCTGTACCTGGAGCCAGCCCTTCAGCTGAGCTGTCCACGTCACCTGCCTCCTCACGAAAGCTCTCAGTGGTGAAACCATCCCCACCCTCCTGCAAAGCCCTGCCCTCCTGGCCACCCACGGACCTGTGGCCGCCCTCCTCAACCACCCACATTGGTCTCTTCCAAACCCGGGCCCTCCACACCTGCTCCTCCTGGAGGCCCATGCTCTCTCCTCCCACTGCCTTCCGTCTTCAAAGGCCTGGGCTGCCTCTGGGCTCCTCCAGACGCCCCTGCCCAGCAGCCCCCAGGGACACCCCTCCCAGCCTCCCAGGTCCAAGGCTCCCTGCCTCTCCTAATCCTTTGGCCCCTGGCGGGGCCACCTTGAGCGCCTCTCCTTGCCGGCCGCCCCCACAGGATGAACTTCGTGTCTGCTGTTTCTGCACCCCCACACACCTGGCGTGGCGCTGGCACTGGCTGGATACCTGGGTGTCTGACTGTTGGCAGGAGAAAGGGAGGGACTGAGTCCGGCTGAGGCCGACGGTCTTGAATCGAGTGAGAGAGCGGCAAGCAGGGCCCGGTGGGCTGGTGTCCTCCCCCAGGCCCTGTGGAGCCTCTCCCACGGCCAGGAGCAGCAGCTGTCTCCCTCCCATGACTCCCCCCGCCCCCCCGCAAGGTGGGTGCCTGCTTTGTGCAGACGGCTTTCTGGTTTCCATGGAGGCCATTAGGCAGAGGACTGCCTCCCCCATCCTGAAGATGCTCAGGAGGGAGAATAGATGCCCTCTCTCCAGGTGGGCAGAAGTGTCTGTCCCACAACACGGCAGACCATCTCTACCTGCACAGGCCCTTGGCTTCTCTTCGGGGACCCGGCACCCGCCGCCTGCCATCTCCCCGCCTGCTGTG